TGAGTTCCTTTACCCACACAATCTCATCCACATTTGTTGTTTTTTGAGTTTTTGATGATAGTCATTCTTTCTGAATTAAGATGTTACTTCAGTGTGGTTGTGATTTACATTTCTGTAATTGACAAAATGCTGAACATTTTTTCATGTGATTACTGACCATTTGTGCTTCTTCTTTTGAGAAGATCTATTCATTTCAGTTGCCCATTTATTGATTGGGTCTTTTATTATTGCGGTCTAATTTTTTTTGGTTTTTCATATTCTGTTTATAAGGCCTTTGTCGAAAAATAGCCAGCAACGTTTTTTTCTTCATTATATAGGTTTCCTCTTCACTCTGTTGGTTTTCTTTGTTGTGCAGAAGTTTTTAATTTTATATACTCCCAAATGTTGATTCTTGTTATTATGTCTTCTACAATTGAGGTTCTGTTCAGGAAGTCCTTACCTTTTTTTATGTCTTTAAGAGCTTTACCTATTTTATCTTTTGTAGATTCACTATTTTTTGTTTTTAGTATCTAGGTCTTTGATCTATTTTGATTTTGGTATCCTGGATCTCTTCTGGTTCCATATGAATTATGGAATTATTTTCTCCATTTCTATGAGGAATACCAGTGGAATTGCATTAAATATATGTATCACCTTTGGTGGCATGTCCATTTTGACAATATTTTTACTGCCTATCCAGGGTTTACATTTTCTAATGTTCTTTCAATCTCTTTTTTCAGATTATTATATTTTTCTACAAGAGGCCTTTCACTTCCTTGGTTAGGAACTCCTAGATACTTAATTTTTTTGAAGTTACCATGAGTAAGATTATTTTACCAATTTCTTTCTTGGCAGGTACATTGTTAGTATAAAGGAATGTTATTGATTTTTGTATATTAATTTTGTATCCTGTTACTTTGCTGAATTTATTAGTTCTGAGAATATTCTGTTGGGATTTTTGAGTCTTCTGTGTAAAGGTTCATGTCATCTGTGAATCAAGATAGTTTGACTTCTTCCTTTGCTATATGTATCCCTCTATATCCTTCTTTGTCTATTTGCTTTGGCTAAAATTTTGAGTACTGTATTAAATAGAGTGCTTAGAAATTAATGTTTTTATAGAAATCAATACACTTTTATATTTCTTGTCTATTGTTTCATCACTCATTAGTATGCCTTTTGAGAGAAAAGTAGTATGTGTGTAGTAATTTAGGACAGTTATTTTTATATAGTATTTTTACTGAAGGTTGAGTAGATGAGTAGATGGAAGAGTGGTTTCTTATGGAAGAATGGTAGTCAACTTGGATATTGAAACAAGATTATTTTTCCAGGGCTCACATTAGCAGAAAAAAATCTTCCTTTTGCTGGTGAGAGTGGTATAAATAAGCTATAATTAAAGATGTAAAATTGAAGATTACAATAATTTAATTTGAGTAGGTGTTTTTTAAAATTTATTTTAAAAATAAAGGACGGAAAACATTAACAAACAGACATCCATTTACAAAATAGCATAAGAACAATACAAGCAATACTGAATTACAGACAAAGTGACTGGAAATTAACAATGGCTGTTGTATTATATATTGATATTTTCAAAGTGGTTTCTCAGGAAAACAAATAGAGACATGCAAGATTGATCAAGTAATTAGTCATTAACTAGTCCTTTCAGTAAAGTGATAGACATTAGTAGTGCAACTATGTTAGCTATCCTGTATATACATATATACATTATTTTCCCTTCTTTCTTATCTCTTTTCCCTCATCCCAGTTCTTTACTTTTGAGCATTTTCCTTTCATTTCACAATATCTATCATACCTCCTAATTTTCAGTCACTCTTTCAGGTTCTTACACTAGTGAGACACGTTGCTTACACGGAGGTCAGATTTATTTCACTTATGAGTATAGTCTCTAGTTGTGACCATTTGCTTGTAAAATCCTTGAGTTTATCTTTCTTTATAGCTGAGTAATATTCCATTATATAAAAGTACCACAATTTTTTTATCCATTCCTAAGTGGATGGACATTTGGGTTGCTTCCACAATTTAACAATTACATATTGCGCTGCTGTGAATATGGGTGCACATATATCACTGTGATATGATGTTTTCAGATCTTCTGGGAAAATACCCAGAAGGGGAATAGCTGGGTTGAATGGGACCTCTAGACCTGGTTTTCTGAGGAATCTCCAAACTGATTTCCACAATGGTTTCACCAGTCTGCATTCCCACCAGCAGTGGAAAAGAGTTACTATTTCTCCACAGCCTCGCCAGCATTTGTTATTGGTTGATTTCTTAATGCTAGCCATTTTTACTAGGGTGAGATGAAATCTCAGTGTTGTTTTAATTTGCATTTCTCTAATGACTAATGATGTTGAACATTTTCTCATGTATTAATTTGAGTAAGTGTATCATTTATTGTACTTATTAGTAAATCTACACAAGTATAGTCATGTGCTCTCCCTCTCTTAGGTCAAGCCTTCTAAGATAAAATACATTACTCTTTTTTATGGGGCTCATATAAAGTCTGGAAATCTTAACTAGTTGTTACAAGCACTGCACATTGGTTGGATGTTGACTAAAGATGAAACCATTTTCTTATAATAGTTTCTTAATGAGGATCATAGAAAAGGTACTTACTAGTAAAATGACTAGTTCCTATTTAGTTAAACTTTTTTTCATATATTTTACTGTTGTGCTATAAAGTCTGTTTTCTTTGGAATTTTACCGCTTGGTGTACATTTCACTACTGAAATATGGGAGTTCTTAGACTTTCTTATTAACTCTTGTAATGAATATATAATATTAAAATTTTCTCTTTGCCTGTCCATCCCTGTATATTTGTGTTTTTGTGGGATTAGTGTTTATTCTCTCTGTGATTGAGAAAGGATTATTTTAATCCTTTAAAATGAGCTTTCTCTTCCTATGATGATTGGATTGAAAATTGATCCTCCATTGCCTAGAAATATGACTATCAAGTTATTTCCTGTATAAAGTTATTAAATATCTCTTGGCAACAATTCTAGACTTTAGATTTTAATCATGATCATTGAGCATCATATAGATTACACATTAATTAGATTATCAATGAATTATAATTGCTTATGTAACAGCAGTGCTTTTGTTTGTTTGTTTATTTATTGACGTGGTATGCAGGGTGCTTTCAGCAGCATTCTTTGAGGAATGAAATTTTATTTAGAGAGATGAGCTGTTGAAAAACTCAGTGAACTAGACTGAGAAAATAAATTGGATGTGCTAGATGTTCACTTTTTAGATATAGAGTTACAAAGTGAAGTCTTTTTTGGAAATTTATCATTCATGGTTTTTTTTTTCTTGTTAGTCTGTCTGCCTATAACATTATTTTGTTTTTAGCTTCTCTTCTAGGTAAATTTCAAAATTTTTATGATTAGTTGTTGGACTTCTCATCCAACTCTGTCCAGGGCGAACAGATCCCCTGAACTAGGTGCCCGCAGATATATAAGAAAAGTAAGAAAAAAACCAAATCAAGAGAGCCAAGATCCTGTGATCAGGTGCTAACAGCCTCCAAAACTCACTGCCCCCTGATTACCCTCTTCAGTAACCTTTTATTCAGAATCCACCAAGGAGCCAGCAGAGGAATCCAAGAATATCAAACGTTTCAGCAAGGACAATACAACTCAATTATCATAGCAATGCAACTGACCAGAAAGTCATCATGTTATCTTCCTTTGCGCATATCTCAGCAAAGTATCTAGTATTGATCCTGAGGCTTACAGTGGTTATGCTAGACTTCCTCAAGAACCCAACAATCATGGCTTGGTCAGACCTCAGGCAATACACAAAATAGTAACTAAGGAATGTCCTTCTCCACAGTTAGTAAAATGTTCTAGTAAATCTGTGAGTTTATCCTCATTCTCTTTATAAGTGTGGCTGAGAAGATTCAGGTAAACTCCCACTTCATATGAGAGTGTAAGTCACAGTTGTTCTATGGAATAAGTGCAAGAGCTTGTTGGAAAGCCCATTTTGAAGATACATTCAGAACAATAAAACTAAAGGAAGAATACAGGGATCTCCGAGTTTAAGTTTTTGTATTACTACATTAATTCTAAGTATCTGAAGAAATACTCTGTGGTCTCATATACTACTACTTCTCTGTGAACTCTGAAATTCGTGTTACACTTGTATCCAATTTCTACTTAAGTGAATCCTATCTGAACAAACAACGAAGTTTGATGGAAAGGTGCAGGCAAGCAGAAACAGATTTTAAAACTACTTTTTAGTTGTTGGTCCTAGGCAAGTAAAAAACAAACAAAAATTCAGCCCCAATTTCCTTTTCGTAAATATATATTGTATAGCCATGCTATTTTTGAGTTAGAAACAATATTGTTGATCTCATATAAGTGAATAGATTGTTGGTTACCAGAGGCCAAGGACAGAGAGAGTGCAATTGTATCAGTAGAGAAAATTTGATTAATGGGTACTAAATTACAAATAGGAGCAAGAAGCTCTGGGGTACTGTTACACAGTATAGTAACTGCAGAAAACAATAATGTACTGTACATTTCAATAAGCTAGAAGAAAAAATTTTGAAATAAGTGTTTGAGAGAATAAATATTTTAACCTGATTTAAACATTGTGCAATGAATACATGTATTGATATATATATACATTATATATGTGTGTATAATATGTACAATTTTCATTTACTTATTTTGTGTTGTGAGTGTGGTTCTGGGATTGAATCTAAGGCCTGGCATATATAGGCAAGTGCTCTACCGCAAGGTATATTCTCAGTTCAACATTTATGCTCTTATGTATTAGTTAAAATTTTAAGTCCAGAATTCATGCTTATATAGACACTTACTAATAGTGATTTTTATCATTGTAGTAATACACCATTATTATTTATCTTATATACTAATAACAATGCTATTTGAGCATATAGTAATTTTATTTTTATATGCCTGTCACTACATAAGTGTAAAGAAAATGTAATTCTAAACAGATATAAAAATTAGACATTTTAATTGTAATTTTTTTTCTTTCAGAATTACTTACTGTCATCTACCTTTCCAGAGTAAATGGCTCTATGTTGGAACAGAAAGAGGAAATACGCATATTGTAAATATTGAATCTTTCATTCTTTCTGGATACGTTATAATGTGGAACAAAGCAATAGAACTGTAAGTTTGAACTTAAATATCACTTTATTTGCCTTGAATATTTTGAATAGTTATGTAACATGTACAGTATATTGAATTGTAGTTATTTTATACAATTTATACAATTACAATTTATAATTGATTTCAATGAGAAATTGAGCTTAAATAAAACTCTAAATGCTTTTAAAAATAGATATGGTGGTAGTATGTATGGTAATATGAGATTTTTCAAGTATGATAAATAATTAAGGATTTTAGTTACAAATTTTAATGATAAAATAGGATCATTCTACAAATTTTACATGGAAATCATGACACTGTTATAATCAACCTTAGTATAACTACTTTCAGGGAAAATGTACTGTTTTATGTAAGAATAATGACAATCAGAGCACATTTATAGATGCTCCTAGCTTATTTTCCCTTGCCTTTAAAATATTGTTTGGATTCAAAGGAAAAAGAATATAGAATATTTCAATCTCTCTCATATTATGTATAAATACAGCATTTTTGGTTTGTAGTTAATAGCAATTACTATTTTGGCTTTGATACTAGTACTTTTTGTTTTTATTTTATTTTAAAGGGAGAAAATAATAACAAAGTAACAAAGACAAAACCAAAACAACACAAAACAATAAAAATGATACAGGATTTCAAAACAAGATGATAGGAATTAACAATGGTTATTATATTACATATTGTTGTCTTCAGTGAAGTTGGTCAGATTACCAGATATAAGAATGCAAGATTGATCAAATAATTAAAGAGAATACAAAAAATTAAAAAGTAACAAAAAGAGAATAAAAATTAAAAAGTAACAAAAAGAGAATACAAAAAATTAAAAAGTAACAAAAAATTAAAATGATACAGAGCTTCACTAAACAAGATGGTAGGAATTCACCAATGGTTGTTATATTGCATATTGTTACCTTCAAATTAGTTATTCAGATTATCAGATATAAGCATGCAAAACTGGTCAAGAAAAACAATTTAAGCATTAACTGTTCTTTCAATAACCAATAGACATCTGCAGTACAATCATCCTAAGTATATATATATCCCCTTCCTTCTTTCTTTCTTTTCTCCTTTCTCTCATCATATTTTGTTTTCTACATAGGTAAAATGTGAAAATTTTTAAATGAGAACCTTCAGAAAATTGTGAGCCATCCATCTACTCTAGTGCACACATAAGCAGTTCTCTTACTCAATGTATTAATCATAAAAACAGTTTATATTTAATAAATGTTTATGCTGTGTATATAATATATCCTTAATAAGATATGTGTGACTTTAGGCTGGCTCATGTTTTCTGTCATGAAACTATGCCAAGTTCCAAATAGTTCTCAAAATTCTGATGAAAACATTCTATTTTCGTGAGGCTTCACTGTAGTCTTTATAATAAATCTCTAGTACATTCCTTAATTTCAGTGTTTCAGTGTACATGTACATTGCTTGATAGTTATTATACTCTTGTTACAATAGTTTGTTTGTTTTGTTTTGTTTTGTTTTGGTTTGGTTTTTCTCCGGTACCGGGAACCGAACTCACGACCTTGCGCTTGCCAGGCAGGCGCTTTGCCGCTGAGCTAAATCCCCAGCCCCACAATAGTCTTTTTTATTAAGTCCTAATGGGTCTTTTTATTAATGAAAAATTTTCTTCTCTCATTACATTAAAAATTGCTGGAGGGCAGAATTTTATTTTTTTCTTCCTTTTATATTTGGCTTTTTTCTCAAAGAGTGGCTACTAAGGACTGATGACATTAATGCAGCATTATTTTGATAGTTGCAACTACTGACTTACAATTCCCATTTTAATTTTTGTTGTTAAGATAATAGATATGAGCTATTTTACTCTTAGTAGTTGTAATATTCTATATTCTATGTATGTATTTTTAAAAATATTTATTCTATAGACAATATTTTTCAAAAAGTTACTTTTTTACCTATTTTGGAAGGACCTCTTTCCCTCTAGTTTTAACTCTGAAAAAGCTGTGAGTAGTACTGAATATAATTCTTTTTGTGTAATACATACTATTTTAGGATGTTGACAATGCATACTAACAGATAAACTTGATAGAATATTGAATTGTAGAACTTCTAAACAAATTTAGTATTAGTGCAGATGTAGAGATGTATTATGTATTATTGCCTGAATACTGCTAAAATAATTAAAAGTATCTTTGAGAAGGAGCCATCTGCCTACTTCCTATGGTATCTTTTACTTTGCTCTCTATTTATACTTTGGAAGGAGACAGGAGAGAGGAGTAGGAACATGGATTTTAAAAAAGAATTAAGATGTATTATGTACATGTGCTAATTCCACACAAGGAGTGTAAGTGTAAGTATTAAGTACTGCAAACATATACTCCTCTTGCAAAAAAAATCCCACCAAAAACAAAAACAAAGGAAGGGAGATCAAGAAATGGATGAAGAGGATAGGGACACAAGGGAAAGGGGGTGAAAGAAGGAATTAAAAGGTTATTATGTACATGTACAAATTCTCTACAGGAACATAAATATTATATACTACAAACATGTAGTAAGAATAAAAATTTAAAAAGGAGTGTATTTTAAACAAATTAAATATTTAATTACTCCTGCAATGTATTTCTATTTTCATGTAAACCTTTTTCATAGTTCAAACTGGTATATGAATGAGTTACATACATTATACAGACTACACTTTATGCATGCATGACTATTGAAAAGCTGAAAATGTATGTTTATAAAGAAAGGTAAAATTAAGAGAAATTAAACATAAAATAAGACATTTTTGTAGTATGATTTTATACATATGATCCAATACTAGAAGAGTACCATCATTTTGTTTTGATATTCTATTTCAAAATTCTATATTTTATAAAATTCTATATTATATAAAAGTTGTTCAAGCCTCTGGCAGTGCCTTTGGAGTACCTTTAAGAAATTATTAATAGAAAATATTCCATCACTCCTGAAGACTGTACTCAGGGAATATAATATAAATGGCCTTATAAGCCAATTTGAGGAGTTTTAATTTTAAGGCCAATAGGAAGCTAGATTTTAAATGGTTTTAGACAGATTTGATTTGATTAAATTGAACTTTTAAAAATAATATTCTGATTCAGTAATGGGAGAAAGGAAAATTATCCTCTGGATAAAAATTATGATACTGTTATGGGGTAGAGTTAAGCTGTTTTATTTAAAAAAAAAATAGAGGATCAAGGAGGCACAAATAATAAGAGAAAATTCAAGGATGGCCTCGAGGTATTTGTCTTGATGAACTGGGTATAATAGTGAAAGAGAGCCAAATATTGAATTGTTTTGTAGTAAAGCAATGTCCAATTTTAGGTATGTTGAGTTGTAAATGTTCATTACATTCAAATGGTAATTAAGAATGAGAAGAGTAGAAATAAAAATTTGTATCCCCAGTTTTCAGTGAAAGAATTCATGATGAAATTATCCTACTCTAGCATTCTTGCATGGCAGGAAACAATTGGATCTGAGTAGATAATTTTGTAGGTGGGCAATGTGCTATCTAGATTGTCACAGTTCTTATTCAGCCTTTTTGACTCATGGAGATTCCTGGAACTTTTAAATTCATGACCATATATTACACAGAAAGAGATGGCAATTTAGGGCAGAATACCAAGCAGTATCAATATTTAAGATGGGAAAATATTGAAAGGCTAATAAATAAACTTAAGATTCAAATATTTTTTATTATTTTGGGCAGAATCAGTCATAGATTTCTTATGTGCTTAAGAAACCATTACAGTGAAGAGGAGGAAGAAATATGAATTGGGATATCCAGAAGAATTACTGAGCATTGCTTAGGTGCTGTTATGTGAATTTAACTTCATTGATTAGTGTATCTATAATAATATTTTGAAATTTTTATAATACAGAATATTTTTGTATATTCTAAAAAATTCATTACAAGTAACAGAAATTTAATTCTGATAAAGAAAAACAATCCTACATTGTATTTCTGAAATAGTGGGTTTTATAGTCTAAGGATCTACATGGAAGAGTCTTGCATATAGTTTCATTTCCTAAAGTATATTTCAATGATTCCCTTATTATGATAAATGAGAAAAGATTTCAATGAGCCAACAAGCTTGGGAAATATTAAACATTTGTGATATATATTTGCATAGTTTCGTTCTAAGAAGTTTTTAAGGAAAAATTATTTAACTTTATTTAATTCAGAGTTTCCTAAACTTTGAGAAAATAAGTCACACTTTGTGTGAAGTGTCTTATATCTCCATTCATTCAAAGTGGAGTTCACTTTGGTAAAAGCAGTTCAGTCATACTCTAGAGAGAGAGATGTTTTTGCTTATTGACTATTGTTAGCTATGAAGGATAACTTAGATATTATCCTTTATTGGAAGTATTTATGTCTTTATGGAAACTACATTTATATATAAATGGTATATTATGCATTAATACAGAAAGAACTATAAAATACTCTTATGAAATCTGGTTGATTTTCTTTCTTCCAGCATATATTCTAGAATGGAAAATAATAACTGGTTTCCAATTTCAGAACAATCATAAAACATACTATTAATAAATGGATTAATGTTTTGCCATTATATTAGGTATGATATGGATATAATTTCTAATCCTCACAATTACTCAGTAAGGTCAGGCTTACTGAATGGAGGCTAATACTCCATTTTAGATGAGAAAACTTAGAATACATCCATAACTATTAATACCTAATAAATCTGTATTTATTTATCTGGGTCATTCTAAGAAGTCTGTTTATCAGAGGAGCCTAGAATTAAATTTTCACATTTATCTAAGTAGTATTTAAAGATTCAAATATTCTTTATTGTTTTGTGCTAAATCTTTTGTGGTTTTAATGTGTGTTTAAGAAATAAATTAAAGCTAGGTAGTGTATTCTTAAGAAATAAACTAGTCAGGTGTGGTGGCACATACCTGTAATCCCAGCACTTGGGAGGCTGAGGCAGGAGGATTGCCGTGAGTTTTAGGCCAGCCTAGGTTACATAATTGAGTTGAAGGCCAACCAGTTTATAGCAAGATCCTGTCTGGAAAAAATAAAAGGAAATAAGTGAAAGCTAGGTGAATTTAACCTGGCAGAATTAGTTTGTTAAAAAAGGCTTGAGAAAACTAAGCACTAATAAATCTCTGATCATATTAGATTATATCGTAATTAACCATAACATAATCATATGCATAAGTTAAACTAGCTATTATGAAAAAATATGCCAGATATCAGAGTAGAATAAGGTCAGATCCACAGGAGTCCCTTTAAGAATATATTGTTATTCTCATAATTACGTGTTGTTCATTAACTAATGAACTAGGGTTCCCCAGCTCGTCAGTTTTCTGGAAGATGGCTGTCACTAGCGTGAGTTTCTTTTTAAATCAAAGGTGCCACTGTATTTTTGTTTAGGAGTAAAATAAGAGATTTCATGTCAAAGGCAAATTTAAATCAGGTATGTACTTGAAATTTGGTTGAAACAAGTTCACTGCATCAATTTTGTGACTGTAATATATATGTCAATTTTAAATTTTCAGAGGTTCACATATATAACAAATAATGATAAATCTGTTTTTCTGTGGAACTTTGTTCTTAAACCTGATTTTTTTAAAATTCCAACTTCTTTAGAGTTAATAGAGGCAAGGAAAGTAGTTAATAAGGGAAACCAAAAATTCACCCAAATTTGAGCTTAATTCCTTAATTTCTTTACTTCAGTCTCTAACATTAAGGTAATTTAATGTCTAGTTTTTAATTACTTCTTTGAATTGATTTAACAGGTCCACCAAAACTCATCCAGGTCCAGTTGTACATTTAAGTGATAGTCCAAGAGATGAAGGGAAAGTAAGTATTATAACATCATTATAGTTGCATTTATTTTACTCATTTTGGAAAAAAAGGTATTTCTCTTCCTTCCTCTTTTTCTTTTCCTCCTCCTTCTTTCTCTTCAACTTTTCTTCTTCCTCCTCATTATTATTATTATTATTATATACTAAACATCTGGCTCTGTTCAAAGCAGTGTTATATGAAAATTAAAATTTGAATTTATGAGTGAGAAAATGAAGGGATGAATTATTCAGGCTTATGATAGTCCCTAAGTAAATCTTCAGTATCACCTGGAGCTAAATTTGGTATTTCATTTGAAACTAGAGGAAATTAGTATGTAGAACAGTTTTTATTATCTAGTATTTTATGGCTGAACTTTATAATATGATGTCAACATTATTAATCATTTGTTTTTGTTTGGTTTTGATAGTGATAAATAGCCAATATTAAATAACATAAATTAGCTAATCTTAATATCGTAGTTATATATTAGTATATAAAACATTAACAGAATAAAGAAATAATCCTTATTAATTTTGATTATTTTATAATTGGCCTTTGATGAGGAGGAAACAGTGTTAATAACATGAAGAGATCGAGGCAGGAGGATCGTTGTGAGTTCGAGACCAGTCTGAGCTACATAGTGAGCTCAAGGCCAGCCTGAACTGCATAGTGAGACCCTGTCTCAAAAAGACAAAAAAAAACTGAAACAAACAAACCATGAAGAGATATAAAGAATCACTACCATATATATGTTATGTACATGTACCAAATTCCCATGATTAATGTAATCATTATGTAGTGCAAACATGTATTGATAGCAATAAAAAAAATTGCTATCATAAATAATAAGTCTCGGGGCTGGGGATTTAGCTCAGTGGCACAGCGCCTGCCTGGCAAGCGAAAGGTCGTGAGTTCGGTTCCTGGTACCGGAAAAAAACAAAAAAACAAAACAAACAAACCAATAAATAATAAGTCTCTTCAAGTGTATAATTTTTGCTAAGGACTGTAGAAAACATTAATAAGTTATTTATCAGGTGTTTGGTCCTTTGTAGGATAAAACTGAGCCAGCCAGGCATGGTAGTGCACACCTATAGTACTGGCACTTTGGAAACTGAGGCAGGAGGATTGCTGTGAGTTTGAGGTCAGCCTGGGCTACAAAGTGAGTTCAAGGCCAGCCTATTTTAAGACAGGGTCTCACTTAAAAAAGACAAAAAACAAAAACAAACAAACAAACAAAAAACAGAAAAGAAAAAGAAACTGAGTTACCCTAACAAAAATTAAACCCAAAAGGCAAGTCTACATTAAATTGATCCATAAATGCAGTGTAATTCTAACCAGGTGTCATCAGAATTTATTTATTATTGAAGAATTCAGAAACTGATTTTGAAAGTGACTAGAGAAAGAAAATGTTTAAGAATAGCCAAGACATTTTTGAAAAAGAAATACTATGTTTCAGGGGTATACACCAGTGAATCTAAATAAATATGAAATAAATAAATGGCTTAGGCATTTGGAAAAATCTTATATATTTTAGATAAAATATTTTAGGACATAATTAACTTATTGAGTAAATAGTATTGGACAATTTACTGTCCATTTAAAAAAATAACAAGATCTCTACCTTAAACCTTTCTGAGAAATAAATTCCATGTAGAAAATACATTAAATGCATAAACATTAAAATTACAACTCGGAAAGCATTTGAAGACACTTGCAGGATGTAGTTTGTTTCTGTGGAGTAGGGACACAGGCGGAACATAAAACCTAAAACCTGTAAGGAGTATCATAGCATAACAAGATGACCATAATAAGAGATAATATTTGCTACAAATAACATGCAAATAGTGAACATTAAGAACATATAAAACAATCTTTTTATAATAAGAAATTAATAGATGATATCTAATCACAAAAAGCCAATATATTTCTATGTGTGAACATTAGTACTAGAAAGAGCAATTTTAAGAGTTGAAAATGTGGTTATCTAGAGAACAGTCTCTGGGAATGAGGAGGATATAGCCTCACAACTAATTACCAATACACCAATTTCCCCCATCATACTTGCTTTTTTTTTCCCCATCATACTTTCAAAGCAATAAAAATTTAAAAAAACTAGCAATGCCGGGTAGTGAAAGAGATATTGTTACATAAGCATCTAGCTATAGGTGTATATATCAGTATGGGAAATTTAACATTATCTACATTTAAAACATGCATTAAAAATTCATTATGACCCAGAAAATCAATTTCAGATATCCATGCTATTTAACAATAGGGCAAGATATTTAAGATGGTATAAATGTCTATTAATAGAAATTGAACAAATGAATGCTGATACACATACACTGGAAAGTTCCTTCAGATGTGAATTAGTTTTTTAAAAAGAGAAATATTTATATGATCTGAAGAGGAACCAGAATATATTGTAAAGTATTTTTAAAAGAGAAGTTGTAGAGCAGTAAGGTATAAAGCCACTGGTTCAATGTGTTCATATATTCATTTGCCCAATATAAAAAGCTTGAAAGATATATGCAAATCCAGGAAGGATACTGGAGATTAGAATTGGGAAAAATAGTAAAAGTTATTCCTATTTTCCTTGTGCTGCTCAGATTGTTATGAGTGAATATAGTATGTGGTAATTGTATAATTTCAATTGAAGGAATGCAAAAGAAATGAATACTGGAATCAGAAAACTATGTGAGTTATGGCTCTACTACTTATTAACAGATAACCTTGAACAAATCACTTTACTTATTGTTAGTGAATAAAACAGTATTAATTTTTAAAATTTACCTACATTATTGAATGTTTTATTTTTAGTAGTTGTCCTTAGATTTTCTGGCATAGTTATGTGTTAAAGCATAACAAATGTAGATAAATTTGATTTCTTCCTTTCTAATATTTATACTTACATATGTATAATGTATTTTGGTGTTTCATGGGTTATGACTCTGTAACATTGAATATAGTGGTCTTAGTGGAAACTTACCTTTATTTTCATTCTCAAAGGAAATGCTTCTAAGATTTCAGCATTAAGTAAGATATTTGCTACAGGCCTTTGGCTGACTGCTTTTATTAAATTAAAAAATTGTACCTATTTACAGAATTCTAAGAATTTTAAATTGTGAATGTTGTTGAATTTTATTGATTACATTTTATGTTTATCAACTAGATAATTATTCCTTGATTTGTTTGTTGAAATATGTCAATAGTTTAATTTTAAACAATTATGTTTAAATTATTTCTGGGATTATTCTGTTTGGAAGGAACAGCTTCCCTTGTGGTTTGCTGGTGAAGTGAAAGAAAAATCAAAGTACTACAGCTAAGGTTCCTATGGAAGCAAGATAGTATCATAAAATCAGAAAATAGACCATTTTACCCCCAAGATATCATTACAGAGAAAATGCAAATTAGTCTATCAAACAGAAAGGTGTACTCTTGACCATTACCTGTATTGGGTATAGTAATGATCTCATATCTTCAGATTCTCAGTTTTCTTTCTCTCCCTAACTCTTGGCTATTGTTTCACCTGAGCTTTGGCAAAGTTAATTTCATACAGTACTCCTTCGTGGAGTTGGCTATGCCTACAGTCTCTCGCTCCTTTAACTAATTCTGGATTCAGAAGATGTGCCATAACAAAGGACCGTCAATCTGGCTTCCCTAACAAGATATAAGAAATTTTTCCTTCCTTCCTTCCCTGCTTCCCTTTGAATGAGTGATGAAAGTCCCTATTCTGAGCTAGTTGTTTGTTTATTTAACATAAACTGTTAGAAACATTCTACAAGTTCGTACCAATGAAACAACTGCGAAATGACTGGATATGTATCTCTGCACATGAAATAGTGGTTAGTTGGATTATGAATCATCTTACTTTTATTTCTTTTATTTCACTTTCCCTTTACTGTTACAACCCTGAGATTGTACTTTTTCATGAAACATCAGCACTTATGCCTTGCTACAAGATTTTTTCTATAGAGCCAGGTTAGATAATAGTTTCACAGTTGTTGTAGATCAGGGATTAAACTACAGCCCATGAGCCAAATCTGGCCTGCTGCCTGTTGTTATAAAATGTTTTATTGAAACAGAGCCATGTTCTTTCATTAACATACTGTCTGGGGCTGCTTTCTTTGTGATGAGCAAAGTGGAGCATTTGTGATAGAGGCTATATGGCCTGAAAAGCCTAAAATATTTACTATCTGCCCTTTTACACAAAACATTTGCTGATTCCCATTCTAGATTGTACACCCTCAACATAGGATTTTAGAGTTGGATTGTCTGCTTTCTAAAATCAAAGAAACTGTTGAAGGTGCCACATGGAGAGGTATTAAAATCTGTCACACAGTCATGTAATAATTACTTGGACATTCTCTTGTGATTAATTGGGATATGGGCTGCTGGAAAGATAAGACAATGAGAGATCAGGCACTTGTGATGCTTACTTTATGTGGGTAAATGATAAGTATAATGATAATGGTAAAAAATAGCTTCATTTGATATTTGCATTTTTCTGTTACTGACATAAATGATTATAATGTAGTAGCTGAAAACAACAAAAATTTCTTACATTACAATTTTGTAGCCCAGAGGTCCAAAACAAGTCTCACTGGACTGAAATCAAGTATTGGCAATTTTTGCATTTCTTTAGGTAACTCTAGAAAAGAATCTGATTTCTTGCCTTTTCAGAGTCTGCACACATTCCCTGAGTTATAGCTCCCTTTCTCCAGCTCTCCAGAGCCAACAATGTAGCATCTCCTTGATTTTCTGTCCATCATTACATCCTGTGTGACCACATGTGGGAAACATTCTCCACTATGAAGGATTCAGGTGATTAGTTTTCATCCAGTTAGGTAAGCCAGGATAATCCTTTTAATCAACCTCCAATCCTTAAATATATTTGAAAAATCTTTTTGTCATATAAAGAAAATTTTGTGTGTATGATGCTAGGGATCAAACCTAGAACTGTGTTCATAATAAGCATACTCTACAAGTGAACTACACCCACAGCCCATTTGAGA